AAACAAGGGAATATTAAGGCTGTCTGATATTGTGTACAATCATCACAGAAACAAGGGAATATTAAGGCTGTCTGATATTGTGTTCAAACATCACAGAAACAAGGGAATATTAAGGCTGTTTGATATATGGCTGTACAATCACACAGAAACAAGGGAATATTAAGGCTGTCAGATATTGTGTACAATCACACAGAAACAAGGGAATATTAAGGCTGTCAGATATTGTGTACAATCACACAGAAACAAGGGAATATTAAGGCTGTCAGATATTGTGCACAAACACACAGAAACAAGGGAATATTAAGGCTGTCAGATATTGTGTACAATCATCATAGAAACAAGGGAATATTAAGGCTGTCAGATATTGTGTACAATCACACAGAAACAAGGAAATATTAAGGCTGTCTGATATTGTGTACAATCATCACAGAAACAAGGGAATATTAAGGCTGTCTGATATTGTGTACAATCACACAGAAACAAGGGAATATTAAGGCTGTCAGATATTGTGTACAATCATCACAGAAACAAGGGAATATTAAGGTTTTTCTGATATTGTGTACAATCATCACAGAAACAAGGGAATATTAAGGTTTTTCTGATATTGTGTACAATTATCACAGAAACAAGGGAATATTAAGGGTTTTGTGATAGTGTGTATAACCACACAGAAACAAGGGAATATTTAGGCTGTCAGATATTGTGTACAGTCATCACAGAAACAAGGGAATATTAAGGCTGTCAGATATTGTGTACAATCATCACAGAAACAAGGGAATATTAAGGCTGTCAGATATTGTGTACAAACATCACAGAAACAAGGGAATATTAAGGTTTTCTAATGTTGTGTACTATTGGTATTTAGAGATCACTACTACCACCACACCCAACAATACCACGACAGGTAAGTTAAAAAGTTCTTGGTTCATCTCTGACCTTTGTATTCATTGAGATATGTTTGGTTTGACAACATAGAAAACAGACCAGCCACACCATTGAGACATTCTTGTGATAATTCTTTCAAATTTTCAAATGACAATGTTAATACAGTCATATTTCTGAAGAATTTTTTAAAAATTTTGGCGCATTTAACTCATAGGCTTGGCTGTGTTCTACGATCTGTCAGATCCTGGTATAATCTGTCTTATTGTTTGAATTGTTATATTTACTGTATACAGTTTGCTCCACGTTGACAAGGATCACTCCAACTCTCTGCTTTGCTGCATCTCTATCATAAAATATCAACATTATGGATATGAAGAGTTTCTGTTTGCCATATTTGTCCTGCAATAAGCCCACCCTGCTTTGAGACGTGTGTAGACTCCCGGGGCTTATTGTGGAATATGTATGATAATATAATGTAAAGCATATCACATAATACACTTGTTTCATTACAATGATTATGAAGAATATTTAAATAAAAATAGCATTATTTAAGTGTAATTTGTCAAATTTCTGGTATACATTATGTTTTACTGACCTAATACAGTACTGAAAGAAGAATAACAAATCAGATTAATTGATATGTGAATGTTTCATACTGCAAAATCAAAAACATTCTGAAGAAAATGGCTTTCTGCTTTAACCCAAACTTTCCCCTGTCACTGTATGTCTGATAAGATAGTGTGGTGATATATTAAGATCTGTTATCTGGTTGTCCTCATTAATCTCCAAATATCTGTCTTTATTAACAAATGATTTCAACTCTATCCAGGATTTTCCTTTGGTATGAAAACACTATATCCTTTAACACATGTTACTAGTAGCTCCCATTACATATAAGATAACTATATAATCAATATATTCTTCCTAGTAAGAAATATATATATTTATCATTTATTTTGAATTGTATCAAAATGAATGTGACAATTAAGATACCTTATTGGTGATTCACAAAGCAATTCAGTCAAAGCCTATATAAGGCCGCACTTTTATCTTTTAGGAAAATTACCAGCTTATGAATTCAAATATAAGCAAGATACTCAGTCGCAACTTGAGACTGGTCTTAAAATAGTTGTGATGTAATTCATAGAACATTAAAGAATGAACAGGATTAATTGTGTACTTCATGATATGGAGATGCGTATAATTTTAGTGCCTTTGAACAAAATTTTGTAATTGTGTCGTACACATCATTCATTGGGGGCACTCACTTTCATGTGTAACATTATCGTTCCTTATGGCTCTTAAATGCTTGGGGAATTTTACCCCCAATCTCATAATAATAGATAGTCTTGTACAGATATGATTCATCTTCTCTAATATCACTGAGGGCCTAGTAGGACATACTCAGCTTCTCTCATATCTTTGAGGGCCTAGCTGGTGCTTGAGTATAACCTATATTCATTTATCCCAGCTTTCCAATTTTCATCCGGAAGCTACTTCAGTTTCATTAAAAATTATAATTTATACAGATTGTAGTGTAGGGTGAGTAGCCCCTAATACGCCAAAATGATCTGTATTGTTTGCATAAGTGGTTAATAAACTATGTACTGTACTCTGTAACATGCGTTAGTTGTATATAAATGGTAATGATAAAAGAAGACAAACTTATCCAAAGCTTGCTATGCTTGATTATCTTAGTCTGTCCCTATTCCTCAATCGCTGTGCAGGCAGAATGGTATCCAGGTAACAGATATAATGAGCCAGCACTGAAGTAACATCAACAGCTCTTTTGTGTACAACCATCACAGAAACAAGGGAATATTAGGGATTTCTGATATTGTGTACAACTATTACAGAAACAAGGGAATATTAAGGCTCTGATATTGTGTTCAACCATCACAGAAACAAGGGAATATTAAGGCTGTCTGATATTGTGTACAATTCAATCAAGATGCCTGTTGCTTTCTTATATCATACAAAATACCAAATATTGGACTTGTTTTATTTGTATCAGTAAATATACATACAACATATACTAACAAGGCTTATACTGTATATTGGTTTTGAGCCAGCTGACAGAATGGCATGGCATTCTGTATTATAACATTATTGATATGTGACTTGGACACACTTTTGGCTGTGATCTTGACAAATATTTTTTATCAGTAGTAAGTCGTGACCTTGACATTTTTTGTATGTCACTTTGATGGTATTTTGGATGTGACCTTGACAAACTTTATGGGTGTAACCTTGATAGTAATTTGAGTTCAGATCTTGGTTATACAATATATCTTAGTTGTAACTTTGCCTTTAAGGTGAGTGGAGTTTTCACATTTTAAATATTTCAAATTTGATATAAGCAAAAGTGTGACATTGACTATGTTCTATTTGTGACCTGAGTGACCTTATCTGACCTTTGACCCAGATTAATTACAGGGTTATAAATGATTTCATGCTTTCTGTCAATGAACTAAGGCTGTACATAGAACAATAATGATGATGTTTCACTTCACCTCTGTACAAGATGATATATAAATATACATACACAGGCTGTTCATTACAATATATATTACACTGTCACTGAATTACTTAATGGCTTTCAATCCAATAGGTGCAGCATCAACCAATGAGATCTCAAGTAGGTCCACACAAGTCATGTGACTTCATTTACATATACATTGTTACAATATTTTCCTTGAGATTTCTTTTTTGTTTTATATTTAATGATTTTGTTAGTACAAAGAAGGACATTTGTGTCAGTTTAAGTTTTACCATTTTCTCCTTTCTCCAATAGAGAAAAATTTTATAAGTTATTTATTTTTTTTTTAATGAAAGGTTCAAGGTTCAAGTTTTATATTGAATCTGATATAATATTGTATGCCAGTTTTTCAGAAAATTTAAAACGAGAAATGAACAAAATTTTCAGTGACACAAAAAAATCCTCAGGCAGTTGTTTCTCTGTGTACAGTATAGATTTCATTTCAGCACATATTACTTCAATTTTGTTGGAGTTTTGATGTTTTTTATAAAATAACAATCTGAAGATAATTTTTATTTTAGTAGTAAAGCTGTTTTAACAACCTGATGCACTTAGATCTGTATAATATATCTAATTTTAGTAATGGTTTTTATTGTCAGCAGTCTAAAATTTCCTGAATTGGTGTCAACATATATCAAAAATCAAATATTCCATTTTTGTTTCTTCATGTAATCAATTCACACTAACATCTAATAGCCGTAAAGATCATCTAGTGATGGGCCGATAATCCAGAATAAATGAAAATTAATTAATTCAGGAAATTAAACCAATTAATTGATGTCAAAATTAACCATTATGAAATTGAAATTGGTTCCCATCATTTAGATTATCCTCATTTGCTTTATATTTAACTTGCTGTAAATCATAACAAGATTGTAAAATTATGGGATGTACCCAGAGATGCTTTAAAATGTATAAAGGGGATATCACTGTAGCAACTTGTGTGATATTTACTAGAAGTGACAGCAAATTGTTAACAGTGATGCAGTGTCAAATTCAGATACACCTGTAAATAATAAAATCAGGTTTACAATTGAAATTAGTGAATTAGCCTGAAATTATTTGTGAGATATTCAATTAAACTATATAGTTTAACCCTGAATAGTTGAATCTGATCTGTCATGGTTAACTGAGCCTTAGTCACAACATGCATCATTTGCTATCCATCTCACTTCAGTCTTACTGAATAATTATATCGTATATTTCATAACATCATTTCATCAATCCTTGTTTGCTTAAGAGTCTGAAGTAATTGTGGATGTTAAGTCTGTTAATAATTTATCATTTTCATGGTGTGTGACAATTTCTGGCAAATTCACCACATATTTAACTTTATCTTATTTTTCTTCATTCTGCTGGAGATCAGAAATCATTTACACTTTCGCTAAATTTGGTACCAGATTTCATTTCATTTTTATCGTTTTCACAATAGATTTCAATTGTCATTCATCACCAGAACTGAAATCTAAGGGCTTCTTACGATTTAAGCTTTCTGTTTATCCGATTTATTTTCAGTTCTTAGTTTCTCTGTCATTTTGTTTTATAACCTACAGCACCCACAACAGTAACAACTGTGATGACAACAACAACAAACAGCAATGGTGCCGGTTCTAATACCACATATAATAACATGCTGTCTCCTACTAACAAAGCAAGCTTCACTACTCACTCTACGACAACTGGCAAACCTTCCAGAGACCCTGACAGGAAGATGGTTCCTATTATAGCTGGTAGTGTCGGGGGTGGGGTAGTAGTCATTCTCGTGGTGGTGATTATTTTTTGCTGTAAAAAGAAAAATAAGGCTGCAAAAAGTTCAAGCCCTCGTTCTTCCCAACAGAAAGACTTTGATAAACTACAAGTACACGGCCCTGGAGCACAAAGTAATCCTGCTTTTGTAAACATCGATTACAATGAAATTGATGAGAAGAACTTCCATAAAGGTGTTGAAGGCAACAGTAGATGTTCTATTGAAATTTCTTACCGTTCTGATCAGCCAGAACCCAAATATCAGAATTCACATGTCCCGCAAAAGCCTGTCTACAGACACCCTGGTCCTACGTCATATATTTCTACTAATGATCAATACTTGGAGGAAAAATTGTAGCTACATTTTCAAAATTGGTAAATTTTTAATCTTAAGTTTTAATCTATTGTCCATTTAGTGGTAGAAACTAAGTATGATTTCTAAAACGTAATCCAGTTTTTTGGAAGATTAATGAGTTATTATAAAAATCAATCATTTGGTTTCTTTAGAAATCTGCTTGCTTATGTCATTAATAGGCCTGTAATGCTTTCATTTCTTACTAAGTAGTTGTATATATCTTTTGAAGCCCTCACTATTTAACCTGTTTCGTAATTCACTTTAAGTAACTAGACTTTTTCCTCCTTCTGTAGGTCCAACTACCACTACCATTCCGACTACTACCACCACTACCACTTCAACTGACACTACCACTCCAACTACTACTACCACTCCGACCACCACCACCACTACTCCTACCATCACTACCACTGCAACCACCACTCAGACTACCAATTCAGTAACCACCATAAGACAGTTAACTGATGAAGAACTAGGCGCCATCATTGGAGGAGCTCTTGGAGGATTGTTTTTGCTCTGTTGTATAGGGCTCGGTATTTTCTACTATTACCGGATGCAAGACACAAAGTCTCCTCCAAAGAACAATGAGAGAATGGACCAAATGGAAAGAAGAGGTGGAAATGAGCCATCAAGACCTAACGATCCATGGGCTCGCATTGAGAAGGAAAAAGTTGTCATGTACCACCATGGCCAGCCCTATCTTGTAGATCCGAAACACTACAAAGATTACTGTCATAAGTCTAACAGTTATAACAACAAAGGCTACCAACCTGACCATAGGGAAGCAAGGAGACCTCATAGGGCTAGGAGGCAGTCAAATGAACACTTTATTAGTTCAAATACTTACAGAAGTCAAAGGTCAGGTCACCGCAGCTTCCAGCCTAATGCTGTTCCTCCAAGGCAGGAGTATTACCCAAACCAGTTATATAATGGCCAAAACATTTATCTAAATCATCAGACATATTATCATTCACGGAGAGAAGATATTTATTATTAAGGTGTACAGCAGGGATTTGCTTTAAGAGATAGCAAGCTGTATTGATAACTATATATATATCCCTTGCTTTATGCAAAGATTGAGTTTGAGTTTACTATATACCAAAGAAGTTATAGTGCTTTATATATGACCAATACATATCAGTAGCAATGAGCAGTCACAAAAAGAAGGCTAGTTAAACAGACGAGCCGTGAGAATGACCATCTGGATGTGGATTGGTGATTTTGCAAGAGATGATTTAAATAAATCTGGAATAATCCTGGAAAGCTGGTGCTGTGTCTCAGAACTGCATATCTTCATGCTTTTTGTTGTATCAAATAAAAATGGAAAAAATTGTTCTTATCTTTTTTGCGATGGTTTGATGATTCCATCATGGTTTAGAATAATTGAAGAGAATTCAGTGACTTTACTTGATGCAAATTATTACACCAGGGACTTTTATATTTGAGCCATTACAGACACAATGGCCACTGTCCGCTTCAGTGGTAGAAATGGTGTACCTGGTGGTGAGAGAAGTGCACCTCAGGATTTCTCGACAATGGTGTTGGCACTTGTATCGTGGATTATGGGGACTTCATTCTTGATTTAGGGATTGTGGATCTCATAATTTTTTGTGATACATAGAATTCCTTGCCATCATCAACTGAAACATTTTTATCTAATAAAAGTCGTTTTCTTCGTGATTGAAAGGAAAGGATTTTCATCTACAGTATTTTATTCCTTTTAAACAAGAAACTGGAGTGATGATGATGGACTTGAGTTTTTCCTGAAATTCTTTTCGCATTTGGAACTGGAGGATTCTGAGCACTTAATGGAGAAATCCAACAGACTTGAACTTCTGTCATTTTTATGATGTTATTACTTTGTCTAATACCTCCATAATTTCATGAACATCCAATTTTATCATCCTTCGCTCAAAAATATTGCAGTACATTTTACACTGCTGCATCAACATCATTTTGTCTTGAAGAATAACTGCTGTAGTTTGTGTTATCATTTGAACAGAAAAAACAGAACTAGACCATTCTTAATAACACCAAAATTGTGAAGATGAAGCGGTATGGTTTTGGATCAGTGGCCAAGAATTTTCACTTAGATAAATGATTAACCAGGAAACTAGAAATGTACATGGGGCTGTTTCTGAATTTGGTGCATCACTGATTTGTCAGGGTATCTTTCTCTCTCGATTTTTTGGAAAATTTAAGTCAAGCTTAACCATATAGATTTCAAACCAACAGACCTTGATAGATATGCTAAATCAGGTATATGGTAAACATTTAATCACCAATACCAATGATGAGTAGGAAATGTTCTATAATCTTTGGGAATGTGTCATTTCTATATACTTGATTTACATTGTGGGTTTCATCAACGAAGCAGAAGACACTTACTCTTCTGGAACACCTTCTTTCTCCAACTTTGCCCAAATTTCATAGACTTTGAGTTTGAGTTTATATCCTGTTGTCAATATCTTCTATTTTTCTATCCACACATATATTGTTATATGATTGTATTTCTATTTTTCATTGTTTTCAATCAGGATATCAAATTGTATCCAAAGCTATAATAGACATTGTGTTGCTTTACAATCTGCTTCTCTCCCGAGTTTCGGTTTAAAATTCATCATATTTTCAAAAAAAAATATAAGGTGAATGAAAAATTATTATCTACAAGGTTTGTTGGTTTTTTGTGTGCAATTAGAGTTTTAGTTTTGCTTTAACTCTCTGTCTTTTAAATCTTTTTAACAAAGTTATTTATCATGTGTGTAGATTTCTTTGTTGTGATTTTTAACATCATCTTATTTTGCAGATAATTGTTTTATATTGCATCAATTCAATTTACCTATTTAGCATTTCTGTTTGCTAAAAAAATGTTCATGCTTCCTTTCAATGATGTGAACAGGAGAAATTGTTAGATGATTAACTTTGACAGCTACTTGATAAAATCTGGAAAAATATAATGAAGAACATGAAAAATAGTATGTATAAATTCAGGTAGGACTTGTCAAACAGGTTTTTACTCTGGACCCGGAAGTTTTGAACAAAATCTAGAAATAGGGGTGTCATTATTTTCTGCAGGTTAAGGTCACTCATTGTGTCAAGATTACAGTAACTAGAAACCTGTAGGTTTATTGTCAGTTCATGTAGATATTTTATTTTATCAAGAGAAAGAAATACAGCTGTACTCGACCGTATTGTCAGCACAGTAAACAACTTTACTAAAGATCACTTTTGGATGAGACCTTTCTCACTTACATGAAGTGTATCTAATGTAAATAGGGCTGTTTGAAATCAAGTAAAATTTATCAAAAACAAAGATCAAAAGAATGATATTAAACTTTAGGGATAAAAGTTAAGGTCTATCACTGCAAAAGTGAGAGGTGATTAACTTGACAAGGGAGTTAACTCAGACCCAGAAATGGTCCAGAAAAGGAAATGCTGATTTGAATTACAGAGAAGAATTCTTTAATGTCAAGAAAAAAGGAGAGGAATTTCAAAACAGGCACTTCCTGTCAGATGTTACTTAATTTTTATATAACAAATACCAGGGTATGTAATAAAAAAAAGTTTTCAGAAAAGGGTAAAAAAAAAAAAACAAGAAAAATGGTGAAGTTTTCTTCCATTTCCTAAATGGTAGCATACTCTTTAATCCTTTAATGCCAGAACTTACCATCACTAATGTTAAATATTTATATCTTGTCTCATACAGATAGGTTTTAGTTGTATATATAACAAATACCAGGGTATGTAATAAAATGTTAAATATTTATATCTTGTCTCATACAGAAAGGTCTTAGTTGTATAGGAGACATTGAATCAACTGCATGCATATAATGATGAAATCTTTTTCATTTGAATGGTTGTAAATATATTCCAAATGAGGTTAAATGCAAGCTGTTCTAAATTTCTATATAATTTGTGCGTGTTTATAGAGCAATGCATATAAGTTATATTTAACAGTTTTTTATATTTGATTTACAAACTTTATCCTTATGAAGAATTAAAATTTCGTGCTTAAATCTTAAATCATAAAATGTAAATTCACATTGTGTGGGCATTGGATTGGTGATGTCTTGTTGTAAATTTTATTTCAAATCATTTAGCCTTGATAGATTGTCTCTGTTAAACCTTGGTAGCCTCATTTAAAAGTAGAAAAGTGGAGGAGGTGTTGGTTATACTTCTCGACTTATCTATAAATTTTGTCCACTATAATTTGTGATTATAAATTTCAAAATATTTGAAGTTTTACACTTTATTTGTGCACATATCTTTTCTTATGATACTAACATATGATATATCCATTGATAATACTCTCCCTGTAAATATTTATAAAATGAAGAATTATCCAAAAAATATTCAGTTTGCATAGCACCTTGAAATGCCTTTATATTTTCGTTCTTTTTTTTTTCTTTTTTTAGAATTTTGGACGTGTTATTGTATGCAGAAAATATTTATAAAAATTAAAACATATATATTTAAAAAAACATTTAAAATTTGTTCTGTTAAGGCCAACCTTGCTATAATTAATTTCTCACTGAAATTAAATTGCAATATTGAAGAATGATTGAAAAAAAGTTTTGTTAAATATTAGTGAATTTGGTAGTGATTAGTTCAGTAGCTTGTTTGTTTTGTTACGGGGTTTCGGCTGGATCATAATGATTTTACGTTTATGTAGAATAATAAGTGCCCAATGAGATGGATGTGTGTGGAATCAGTTTCTTAAAAAATACATGGCAGATCTTTCTCAAATTTCATTTTAAAAAAATGGCTGACAGGGGTCATCTTGGATTTGAGGAGGAAAGTTTGTAATCATTATTTCTTGAGAAGTGCTAGATTTGACTGGGAAGGTAGCTTAATTGTCTGTTATTGATCAGTGATTAAATGTCTCAGTAAATTATATTTTAAACAGAGTGTCAATGATTCTTAGTTTGTTAAATTAGTTAAAATATGTAGAGGTAATAATTTTATTTTACAAAAAAAATGTTTGAATTTAGTTGCTAAAATTTAATAAATGATGTTTTTTTAATCTTCAGAGCCAATCAATGAAATATTTTTATTGATATTTAGTCCCTAAATTACTTTGTTATGATATACATATTGCACAAACATTGCCTTCATAATCAAATAAGTGTTGGATATTAAGATATATATATATACTATTGTACTATACATATCAAATCCATATTTACATTTCTTGTAATGTAGCCTATGTGACATTAACATGACCTTTGATCATCTTTGTTGATAATTGAATTATATTTGTTAAAATCCATTCTCCTTGGATGTAAAGCATTCCTTTTGTATCTGTTAGGTTTTATTTTATATTGTTAATAATTTAGATAAAATCTAAATTAGATTGAGTTAGTTCATGTTGTCATATAACTTTATCATGTTGAATATCCATAAGTTATTATCTTGTGTTGTGAACACATTTTCATCCCATCTAATGGAACCATGATTAACTGTTCAATTCCTTAGTTTCAATATCAATAATTGTAATTACTGAAATTCTTTTTAAGTGACAGTTCTTGTCTTTTTTGTGGGGCATTTGTGTCTATTTACTGCCAAGCACATGCTTTCCACGTACACGCCATCTATTATGGTGATGTCATCGACTCACTATTGAATCATAGCCTGTACAATCAGAAGGGAAGTAGTTTAAACTTCCTGTAAAAATAGCCTGAGAATTGCTGTTTTCACAACATATCAAACCTATTCGGCAAGGAAACTTAAGTTTTTGTTTTTATCATAGTGAAAAAAATTGACTTTAGAATGTTTCTTTGAAATAGAAAAAGAATTTCACAATAAATGTTTTCTTTAAACTAGGAAAGAAATTGACTATTAAAAGTTTCTTTAAAATGGAAAAAGAAACTGACTATATAATGCTTCTTTAAAACAGAAAAAGAAACTGACTATAGAATGCTTCTTTAAAACAGAAAAAGAAACTGACTATAGAATAAGCTAATTCTTATTCTTATTTAGTAAATATCTAGTAAATACTGTAAATCATCAATTTTGGTGGGAGTTTATTTTCAGTGATTTTGTTGAGTGCATTTA